AAAATAAGAGAATATTATGAATAACTTTATGCCAGTAAATTTGAAATTTTAATAGGAAAAGAGAAATTTTTCACAAAAATACAACTTACCAAAATAAAATCCGAAATAGTGTTATTAAATAGGCTAAGTCTGTAATTCAAATCTTCCTATAAAAGAAATCTCTAGCCCCAGATGCCTTCAATAAAGGTTCTACCAAATAAATATGGAGCAAACAATGTCAATTTTACATAAAGTCTTCCAGAGAATAGAAGGAAAAGGTATATTTCAACTCATTGTATGAGACTATCACAACCTTGATAGCAAAACCTTCTGAAGTCACTATAAGAGAAAAAAATTCACAATTTCATTCACAAACATGGTTGCCAAAATACAATTTAAATATTAGTAAATGAAATATATCAATACGTACAAAGGGGAAGGGAGGCTACTATATCATGACAAAAAATGAGTTTATTTTGAAAATACATGGTTGATTTAACAAATCAATAACAAATCAATCAATGTCACCAGCCACATTAACAGATTAAAGGGAAAAAATCGTATGATCATCTCAACAGACTTAGAAACAGCATTTGATAAAATTTAACCTTCTTATATTTCTTAATTATGAATTAAGAAAAAGTTACTCAAATCAGAAACAAAGCAATTGCCCTTCATCTTATAAAGACTACATCATACTTGATGATGAAATTATTGAGATTGGGAATGAGGCAACAATGTCCACTATCATCACTGTTATTCACAGTATCAGAGGTTCTAGCTAGTGTAATAAGCCAAGAAAAATAAAAGTATAGGATTATAAAGACAGAAATAAAACTGTGATTATTTGTAGATGATATAAATCTAAAGTAATTGACATATAAGTTATCAGAAGTAATACTTTACTAAGACACATTTAAGATGGGGTAGGATAAGCTATGATATTCTGTAGGTTAGCTGTATTAAATGCATTTTGACTTATGATATATTCAACTTACAATGGGTTTATCAGGATGTAACACCATCATAAATTGAGGAGCATCTGTACCACGAAAGCAACAACTATAAGAGAGCTAGAGTAGCTATACTGATATCAAACAAAACAGACTTTAAAACAAAACATGTTTCTACAGGTTTATAATGATAGAAGGGACAATCAATCAGGAAGAGATAACGATTATAAAGATATATGTACCTTTAAAAGGAGCCTCAAAATACATAAAGCAAATACCAGCAACTTGAAGGGAAACAACAATAGAGACTGCAATATCCCACTCTCAAGGAAGGTCAAAAAGGGAATAGAAAGCCCTGCCCAGGTAGCAATTTTGGTTAGAATATCATCTCAATACCCCAAGGTTGCAGGTTCAGTCTCGTCAGGGCACATAAAAGAAGCATCCAATGAACACATAAATAAGTGAAAGAACAAATCGATGTTTCTCTTTCTCTCCCCCTTCCTCTCTCTCTAAAATCAGTACAATTTCTTTTAAAAAGGAAATAGAGCCCTGGGCAGTGTGGCTCAGTTGGTTGACCATCATCCTGTGCACCAAAGGGTTGCCAGTTCGTTCCTGGTCAGGGCAGATGCCCAGGTTGCAGGATCGCCAATGGAAGGTTGTGCAGGAGGCAGCCGACGGATGTTGCGCTCAAGCACATTGATGTTTCTCTCCCTTCCTCTCTCTCTAGAAGTCAATAAACTATTCTTTTAATAAAGGAAACAGAAGACTTGAACAACATTATAAACCTAACAGATGTCTATAGAACACTATACCCAACAACAGAATACACATTCTTCTCAAACACATATGAAACAGTCTCCAGAACAGACCATAATGCTAGGCTATAAAGCAAACCTCAATAAATAACCAAAGAAGAAGTCATGTGATATTAGCAATGTGAGGTAAATAAAAATAAAAACATAACATACCAAAACTTATGGGAGACAGCTAAAGTAGTGCTTCAAGAAAAATTTATAACTGTAAATGCCTATATTAAAAAAAGAAAAATATCAAACCAATAGCCTAACCTTCCACCTTAAGAAAGAAAAAACTACTTGTTTTTTTTTTATTATCTTCACCCAAGGACATTTTTGCATTTATCTTCAGATAGAGTGGGAGGGATAGAGGGAGGGAGAGAGAGAGAAACATCAACGTGTGAGAGACACATTGAGTGGTCGCCACCCACAGGACCCCAACCAGGGCCGGGGACAAACTGCAACCGAGGTACGTGCCCTTAGTGGGAACCAAACCCGGGTCTCTCCAGTCTGCGGCCTGACGCTCTAACCGCTGAGCCAAACCAGCCAGGGCAAAACTACTTATTTTAACACGAGCAACTTTCCTACAAACAAAAGCCCAGGCCCAAATGGCTTCACTGTGAATTCTATTGAACATTTAAAAATGTAATACTAATCATTCAGAGACTTTCAAAAATACAAGAGGAAGGAATACTTCACAACTCGTTCTATGAGAACACTATTACCCTGATACCAAAACCAAAGACAAGAAACTACAGATCAATATTGCTTAGGAATACAAACACAGAGACCCTCAAAAAGAAAAAATAGCAAACCAAATCCAGCAATATATAAAAATGATTGTATATCATAGCCAATTATAATTTTTCCAAGGAACACAAGTGTGGTTCATCATACAGAAATAATCAAGATGTTAATAGAATAAGGGACAAAACCCACATACTCACCTTAATAGTCACAGAAAATCATTTCACAAACTCTAACATTCAAATTAGAAATATTGAGGGAAACTCCACAACCGGATAAAGAGCATTTATGAAAAAAAACCAAAGCTAACGTCACAGTTAATAATGAAAGCCTCAATGTTTTCCCCGAAGGATCAAGAACAAGACAAGAATGTACACCCTTGAAACTTTTATTCAACATTATACTGAAAGTTCTAGCCAGGATAATTAGGCAAGAAAAATAAATAAAAGGCATTTAAATTGAAAAGGAAAAAGGAAAACTATCTCTATTTGCAAATGACATGATTTTGTACATAGAAAATCCTAAGAAATTTCATCAAAATTTAAAACTTTTTTGTTTCAAAGCACACTATTAGAAAAGTGAAGACAATCCACAGAATGAAATGAAATATTTGCAAATCACATACCTGATGAGGATTTAGTATCCAGAATATATAAGAACTTTTACAACACAAAAATAAAAGATAAATAACCCAATTTAAAAATGGGCCCTGGCCAATTTGGCTCAGTGGTTAGAGCATCAGCTCAAAGAATGAAGGGTCACAGGTTTGATTCCCAGTCAAGGGCACATACCTGGGTTGCAAGTTCAATCCCCGGCCCTGGTTGGGGTCATGCAGGAGGCAACCAATTGATGTGTCTCTCTCCCATCAATGTTTCTCCCCCCCACCCCCTTAACCTCGCTCCTTCCCTCCTGCCCTTCCACTCCATCTAAAAATCAATGGAAAAATATCCTTGGGTGAAGATTAACCAAAAAATAAAATAAGAATGCACAAAGGATTTGAACAGACATTTCTCCAAAGATACACAAATGGCGGATAAGCATGTGAAAAGATGCTCAACATCAGTGGTTTTTAGGGAAATGCAAATCAAAACTACAGTGAGATATCACTTCCTACTTACTAAGATGGCTATAATCAAAAACACAGACAACAGTAAGTGTTGGTGAGGATGTGGAGAATTTGGAACCCTCGTACATTGCTCTGTGGAATATTAAAATGGTTTAACAACTTTGGGAAATATTTTACTGTTCTTCAAAATGTTAAACAAAGAATTATCATATGACCCAGAGAGTACAGGGTGGGGCAAAAGTGGGTTTACAATTGTTGATATGGAAAATAATACAATAATTAACCTGTTAACCGGGGAATTCCCTTTTTACTGTATGCAATGTTTGACGTATTTATACGTCCCGCTCGGTTAACAGGTTAATAAATAATAATACAAAAATAAACTGTTACACGTACTCACAACAATAAACCTACTTTTGCCCCACCCTGTATATATCTAGAGTATGTACCCATGAGAAATGAAAACACACGTCAGAATTAAAACTTGTACACTACCTCAGCTGCAATTCGATCCCCAGCCCTGGTTGAGGTCGTTTAGAAGGCAACCCATCAATGTGTCTCTCTCACATCGATGTTTCTCTCATTCCCTCCCTCCCACTCTATCTGAAAATCAATGGAAAAATATCCTTAGATGAGAATTTAAAATAAAATAAAATTTTTTAAAAATGTGTACACTAATGTTCATAGCAGCATTATTCATAATGCCCAAACAGTGGAAACAACCCAAATGACCATCAACCAATGAATGGATAAGCAAAATGTGATATCATCCAACTAATGCAGTGGTTCTCAACCTTCCTAATGCTGCGACCCGTTAATACAGTTCCTCATGTTGTGGTGACCCCCAACCATAAAATTATTTTCGTTGCTACTTCATAACTCTAATTTTGCTACTGTTATAAATCGCCATCAGAAATATGTGTTTTCTGATGGTCTTAGGCGACCCTTGTGAAAAAGGGTTGTTCGACCCCCAAAGGGGTCACGACCCACAGGTTATGAACCGCCGATCTAATGGCTATTATTCACACAGAAAAAGAAATAGAGTACTAACACATGTTACAAAATGGAAGAACCTTGAAAACACGTTAAATGAAAGCCACCTGAACATGCCCATATACTGTACGATTCTATTAAAATCAAATATCTACAAAAGGCAAATCTACAGAAATAAAAATTAAATAAGTGGCCGTCTAAAGCTGAGTGCAGGGGGAAGAGTGATGCTAATGGACACAGGGTTTCTTTTTGGTAACAAAAATGTTCTAAAAGTAGACTGTGGTAATGCATACACACCGCTGTGAATATGCTAAATACCACTGACTTGTACACCTTAAATGGATGAATTGCATATTCTCAATAGAGCTGTTTAAAAAAAAAAAAAGACTTGAAAGCAAGCTTTGTATATCAACATGAATAACTTTAATGAATTGAAAAACATTAAATAGGAAATGCATGTGTGGACAGACCAAGAAAATACATGTTTGACATCATTTAAGATGGACCTTAAATCAACTCCTTACTCTGAAAACTGGTATTTAAAGGTAAAGAATTAAGCCTTTGTTCTGTCTTCCCAGAAGAGATGATTTTGAAGAATTTTTAATTTTATTGCATATGATATCATTTTAGCTAAGTAGGCACATCTTCTTATTTTTGAGTTGTAGCCTAAAGGGAAGGAAAATCACAGTATCTATAAGCTACTTAAAGTATTTCAATATAAAAAATAAAATTTTAATATATTAATTATGAAAAGCAAAACTAAATGTTTCTATTTGCTCTCTTGGTTAGTGGACAAGATAATAATATTACAATGAGTTCATCAATTTTGTAAAACTGGGGGAAACTGGAGAAAGGTGATGAAAAAGGTGATCACACATAACCAGGAAAGTATTTAGAAAAATGTTTCCACACATCCCCAGGGACAAAAGCACCAGTGTCAGCGTGTGAATCACTGCAGCAGGGTGTTCACTGCAGTGTAAAGGGATGAGAAGCAATGGATCACAGACAAGTCAGGGAGAGTGTGATGGAGGATCCCAATGATGCTGGGCACAAAGAACACACGTCTTTCACTGTGATGAAATACGAGCAAAGGAAGAGACGAAGCTGGGAAGGGTGCCCCTTAACTCACCTGCAAGGCCTTCCCTCCTACTCAGGGCTCCCTGTGGCTCGATGAAACATGGCTCTTTCCCTTGCTCCAGCTGAGAGATCAGAGCGGGTTTGAAAGTGGGTGATGCTGCTTGAAGGGAGGAAGAAACAACACAAAGATTAGAGCCACAGAGGTCAATCTCCGCCTGTGGCTACAAGGAGAGCCAGAGGTGAGGAGAGTAATTCCTAAGTGGACTGAGCTAAAGGTACCCTAAAGAGGTACAGGTAGGGGTTGGGAAGAAGCCTCAGGACAGTGTTCCCAAGGAAGCCTGAAACACCCTGGGAGGTAAATAACTATTTAAAGGAAAACAAAAGCCCTGACCAGTTTGGCTCAGCGGTTACAGCGTCGGCCCGCGGACCAGAGTCCCGGGTTCGGTTCCCACTAAGGGCACGAACCTCGGTTGCAGTTTGTCCCCGGCCCTGGTTGGGTCATGCGGGAGGCAGCCACTCGATGTGTCCCTTTCACATCAATGTTTCTCTCTCTCTTCCTCCCTCTCTCTCTCCTGTTCTATCTGAAGATAAATGCAAAAATGTCCTCGGTGAGGATAAATAAAAGAAAATAATAAAGGGAAACAAAATTTCTTACCTTCTTTGTTAGAGGATGGAAAATCCCCACTGTGAGAAAACAGACACCTGGCTCCTAGGAGCAAATCCCACAGGGAGACCAAGGGCTGAGTTCTCTCAAGATAATCCGGAGGTTTGCCCGGCCAGTTTGGCTCAGTGGTTAGAGCATTGGCCCACGGACCAGAGAGTCCCAGGTTCAGTTCCCGCTAAGGGCATGTACCTCGGTTGCAGTTTGTCCCTGGCCCCGGTTGGGGTCGTGTGGGTGGCAACCAGTTGATGTGTCTCTCTCACATCAATGTTTCTCTCTCTTTCTCTTACCCTTCTCTCCTTCCCACTCTATCTGAAGATAAATGCAAAACAACAAAAAAGAATCTGAAGGTTCAGTGCTAGGGTGAGGGTACCTCTCTAAAGCAGACAGGGAAGGAGGGTAGTTTTTATAATGGAATAAGAAGGAAAGCCTTCTTGTAGGTCAAACAGACTCCAGGGCTCTCTGAACCTGGCAACACCTGACACTGACATTTGGGGTCAGCTAACAAGCATGAGAGAGCCCTTAATGTCTGAAGGCCCAGGCAGGTTGGCAGCAGAGGCCTCACCTAGGGAGGCCGTAGCCGCATAGTTCTCCAGCATCACACCCCTGTACAGGGCCCTCTGAGCAGGTACCAGGCTGGCCCATTCCTCCTCGGTGAAGTACACGGCCACATCCTCAAAAGTCACTGGTTCCTGAAATGACAAGTCTCTGCTCTTCCAGGCCTCAGGACTTTGGTGATGGTCAACACTGTCCATGAGAGGCCTGGGAAGGGCACCTGCAATGATATGTATTTAGTATTGGGTCCCCCATGAGCCTGACGAGTTTTTGTGTAAAATCTAGAAGGTGTGGAGGAAGAGGATACAAAAATAAAGGCAGACAGACAGCCAGAGCTCGACACTTTCCCAGTTAGAACCAAATACATCTCCACTGAGCCTCGAAACACATGTGACCTCCAAATGGACTACTATATAGGAGCTGGGCTTGGGCCTGAGCATGAAATTACATATATAAAAAGAGAATGAACATATAACTGAATATGGCTGACACCTTAGCTCTAAGCCCCTCCCCACTTTGAAATACAGTTGGGTGAATATTTACGCTGCTCATTTTACTGTTATTTCCCAGTTCTGCTTGCATTCCGGTTCTTCCCTCATTCTTGCCTCCTGTCCACTACCCTGGGCACAAAGCTCAGATTTGTCAATGACTCCCCATCCCTAATGCAGAGGTAGTGAGGTCAGAGAGATCCAATAGGAAAATAATGCTTACTTGGGACAGGCTAGAGAAAAATCTTCTTATCAAAGGACACCACTAAGAGAGTGAAAAAGCGTGCCAAAGGCTGAGAGAAGAGATTTCATAGTACACATATATGACAAACGACTCATACCTAATAATAAAGAACTGCAACTAGGAGAAAAAATGACACACGATGTAATAAAAACGGAGAACATAACTGAACAGGGACTTCACTTAGGAGAAGCATGAGGCCAATAAATACATGAAATGGTACTCCACATCACTGCTTGTTGTGGAAAAGGAAATTTAAAATGAGATGTCAATAATGAATGACAACAAGTGTTGGCAAGGGTGTGGAGCAACTGGAACTCTCATACACTACTGGTAAAAATATAAATTGGGACAACTATTTCAGAAAATTGTTGGGCAGCATCTACTAAAACCAATCAAATGTATACCCTACGACCTAGCAATGTGACTTCTAAAGATATGCCCAAGAGAAATGAGCACATGTCCACCAAAAGGCATATACAAGAATTTTCACTGCATTCTTATTCACAGTAGTCAAAAACTGAAAACAATCAAAATATCCATCCACAGAATAATGAATAAATACAATGTAATATAATCATATAATGGAAAACTATTCAGGAATGAAAAAGAACTGCTATGTGTAAACAACATGGGTAAAGTTCATAAAAACAATGGTGAACAAAACAAGGCAGATACAAAAGGGTATATGTTGAATGATTCCATTTAGATGAAGTTCAACAACAAATAAAATGACTCTATGGTGACAGAGGTCAGAATAACGTCAACTTTGGGATGGACTGCTTGGAATGGCACACGAGGGAGCTTGTTGAGGTACTGATAATCTTCTGCCTTAATATGAGTGATGGTCACATAGGTGTGTATATTTCTTTTTTAATACATTTTTTAAATTGATTTTAGAGAGGAAAGGAGAGAGACATCAATCGCTGCCTCCTGCACACCCCCTACTGGGGACTGAACCCGAAACCTAGGCATGTGCCCTGATTAGCAATCAAACTGGCAACATTTTGGTACATGTGATGACGCTCAACCAAAGGAACCACACTGGCTAGGGCAGGTGCGTATATTTCTAAAAAGTGAGCTATACAGTTCAGATTTGTACTGTAAATAAGTTGTACCTCAATGAGAACATTTACTTTTATATATGCATATATAAGTGTATGTTACATATTTATATATGCATGTACACTTATGTATGCATATATAATTTATATGAATGTATATTTATATGTGCATATATGTCTACATGCATATATAAATATATTTGTATATGCACACATGAATTCATGCTGACACAGAGGAAACCCAGCTCACCTGGGGCCTGGCTGTTAAGGACAATGCTGTCATTATCTGACCTCTTTTATTCCGATCTTGAGGAAAGGTTAAGTCTCAGGAACTGAAGGTAAAGAAAGAAGCATTAGTAACAACTCTACTGACCATAACTCCTGCACACATCTGATCCATCCTGTTTTGAGGCCTCATGAACTATTTCCATCAGTTATTGCCTTGTATCAGTGGCAATACTCATCTCACAGGGGGAAGATGGCAGGCATGCTGCTAAACTCAGGAAGGTTTACGCCCAAGGGTAACCAAAGCAGTGATTCAGACTGAGTAAATGGGTACCCCTTGTAACTGTGTACTCCTGCTCTCTTAAATCATGTTATTGCCATCATATCTTTGTAATAAATGTCCCTTACAGTGGACACTTAATAATACTGAGACAGTAAACAAAAGAAGTTAAGCAATGAGGTCTGATCCACACTGCTGATTTGTGAAAAGCCCCACCTGAAAGTGGAACAGCCCAGGCCACCCTACAAAACCCTCCCTCCCACTTCGTCCTGCGGGGAAGAGCAGTTATGGAGCGGAAGCATAAATAAAAGCCCAATAGGGAACAAATTTCAACCCAACACACTCCACTATCGGGACCAAATGTCTACTCCGACCGATCACAATCCTTAACGATTAAGTTAGGACAATGAGTAACCATGATGGGAACGAAACGACAGGAGAAATAAAGAACGTGAAGAGAACCTGGTCAAGAAATCTTTCCCTATCTCCAATGCTGAACATAGGAAACTATATGCCCAACACTGGACATACATTAGGTGCTTGATGGATGTCTCGTCACATTTTTTTTTATTATTAAACATTCAAACGGGCCAACCCAAATCCAGGGCTCCACATTCTCCAATGACCTAAGCAGCCTCCCTCCTGGAGGGAAAGAAACCACCACTTCAATACTTCCAAAACTCTGCTCCCGGGACACTAATGACCTTCCAGATGGGGTTGACACCGGCCAGATGAGGAAGCAGTGACCAGAGACCGATTTCCGGGGACCACCTGGAGGGGCAGGAAGAACCTCGAGGTGCACACAGGCTGAGGGCTGGGGCTGGGGGCCCCGCGGCCAGAGGGGGCTGGAGCGACCCAGGGGCGCGGTTTCTGTTGACAGCCTGTCCTGGAGCGCAGCGACAACTTTGTAGGGACCGGGGTGTCCACGCCCCTCCGATCTGCGTCAGTACCCAAACGAATAGGCCTGGCTGCGCTGCGAACCACAAAGCAGGGGATCGGAGCCGAAGGCCAGCGCCCCCTCTCGACACGATCGAGTGGGGCCCGGGGGTGGGATGCGGCCCCGGTAGCAGCGCAGCCGCTCTCGTCTCCCTAGAGGCCCTTTCCGTCCTCCTCGGGCGGGTCAGACCCGCTCACCCTGGGCTCTGAGCGGCCTGCACGGCTCTCCAACGAACAGAGGCTTTGCACACGACCCTCGCGCTAACGACGGCCGGAAGTGCTTCCTCACGCGGACCGGCCGACTCACACCTTCCCTGAGACTCCCTCTAGTCATTTCGGAGGACTCCACATCTCGGTGGTTCCTCCTAGTCCCGCGAGACAAGCCTACGGAAAGGGGAGGGCGGGGAGATCAATTCCCGTCTTAATCCAGCCCGGGGCTTCGGAGGCAGGGTCCTGCGCCCCGCTGCGCCACTTGCCCTCCTCCGGAAGGAGTCGTAGTCCAGGGCGGGAGCGAGAAGCTGAGCTGCGGAGCCTGGAGAAGCAGTTCTTCCGCTCGGAGGCGGGAGCCAGCTCCCTGACCAGATAGGCCCAGCCCCTGCCAGACGTGTTTCCCACCTGCTGGTGGGTCCTTCCCTACAGGGCCTGGCAGAGCAATCTGGAGCCTGGAGCGAGATCTGAACAGGGCCCGCGGGCTAGCGGACGGGGTGGAGACCTCAGGACAGAGGAGCCTCTGAAATGTTTCCTGAATGAACGGATTCGGGGAACGGAGGGGCGCTCTTATTCCATACCCAGACGACCCTCGGAATGTCAAGGCAATGCTGTTTGGTCCTTCGTAGACGGAGCCACCATGAATGAGGGAGGAGCAGGAGCGGAAAGAAGCAAGACCAGGCCCTAGCCCGAAGCCTACCACACAGCCCTGCCTACCTTTCTTAGACTGTCCTGACCGGTTCAGCGAACTTCACTGCCTACAAGAATGGATGCTGGAAGAGCAGCCAGTCAAGCCCATTACATCACCTATTATCGATTGCAGGAAAGGGGCATCTATCAGCTAAGATCCTTAATTTGGCCTCCTGAACTTGTAGTTTTAGTCGTTAAGCAATAGGACTGGGTATTTGCCCCATCCTCCTAGGTCTCCAGGCATTTCTATTTTAGCATTGACTCCAGAGAAGCTTGAAAAATTAAACTGGTAATAAGAGGCAGAGTGTCATACCATTAGACCCTACCTGTTACCTGTGCTTTAGGACAAGAGCAGTCTTATGTCTCACAGCAGAGTGTTGTTACCGGGCTCCTGAATATCCCTATTTCCAGTTCTTGCACTTGCTTTGATCTAGGTGAGAAAATTGGCATTGCAGGTAGGCAGGATACAACTAATTTTGCAAATGATTTGATCACCCATTGTGTAAAAAGTTTCCCTCTTAATAAATCTATTAAAAATATAAAAACAAACAACTATGAGGTATCACTTCACACCTGTCAGAATGGCCGCCATTAACACATGATCGAACCACAAGTGTTGGCGAGGGTTTGGAGAAAAGGGGACTCTAGTACACTGCTGGTGGGACTGCAGACTGGTGCAGCCACCGTGGAAAACATTATGGTGTTACCTCAAGAAGTTAAAAATTGAACTGCCATTTGACCCAGTGATCCCACTTCTAGGAATATACCCGAAGAAGCCTGAAACACCAATCAGAAACAATATATGTACCCCTATGTTCATAGCAGCACTATTTACAATAGCTAAGATCTGGAAACAACCCAAGTGTTCATCAGTAGATGAGTGGATTAAAAAGCTGTGGTACATGTACACAATGGAATACTATGCAGCTATAAGAAAGAAAGATCTCTTGTCCTTTGAGATGACATGGAGGGACCTGGAAAGTATTATGCTAAGCGAAACAGGCCAAGCAGAGAAAGACAAATATCACATGATCTCACTTATTCGTGGAATATAATGAACTAAACAAACTGATGAACAAAATTGACCCAGAGACATAGAGGTAGGGTACAGACTGACAAACCTCAGAAGAGGGGGTGTTGTGGAGGAAGAGATAAATCACAGAACTTATGCATGTATGCATAACCAATGGACATAGACAACAAAGCTGGGGATGGGGTGAGGGGATGGGGAGGAGGGTGTCAATGGAGAAAAAAGGAGAAACATCTGTAACAAACAAATTAATAAAAACAAAAAATATATATATAAACATCATTCTGATGTTCCCTTTATGCTGAAACTTATTCCTCCTTTGTAGCAAGTTTATAAATGCTCAAAGAAATGATCACACACTTTCAGATGTAGTTGGCCTGTACAAGATTTTCTTAACAGCAGCACAATTGACGTTTAGGACCAGACAACTCTTTGTTGTGGTATGACACTCTGCCGCCAGTGCATTAGAGTATATTTTGTAGCATCCCTGGCCTACCCACTAGATGCCAGTAGCAACCCTCCCTGCAATTGTGATGACAAAAATGTCTCTAAACATTGCCAAATGTCCTCTGGGAGAGGGGAGCAAAATCACCTCCAGTTGAAAACCACTGACCTATACAGATGTACTCCCACATTCCTTGAAAGAGCAAGACATGGTTGAGAATTAGAAGCAGAAATACAGCTATTTAGACACTCAACTTCCAAACAACTGAGGTGATACAAATAAGGAGCTTATGTGATGATGAAGCAAAACAAAAAATGTGACATTAATGTGCTGTATGAGAAAACGGTGCTTTAAAATACAAGCCTGTATCAGTTGCAAATGACACACACAAAAAAATCTAGTTTAACAAAAGGTGTTTATTGGCTCACATATCTAAAAGTCCAGAGGTAGATCTGTTCGGGTAACGCTTGGGCTAGTGACTCAAATAATATCACCAGAAACTCAGCTTCTCTCTGTTTTGTCACTGTCCTCTTTGGTATTGGCTTCATCCTCAGGCTCCACAGGCTAGCACCAGGAAGCTCCAAACGGCCACCCCTTTTAATATAAAAAATTGTTGCTAATCCGGGCCAGTGTGGCTCAGCTGGTTGCAGTGTCGTCCCCATATGCTAAAGGATCACAGGTTCAATTCTCGGTCAGGGCACATACCCAGGTTGTGGATTCAATCCCCAATTGGGGTGCAGACAGGAGGCAACTGATTGATGTTTCTCTCTCTCTCTCTCTCTCTCTCTCTCTCTCTCCCTCCCTCCCTCCTTCCCTCCCTTCCTCTCTCTCTAAAATCAGTAAAAATGTATCTTCAGGTGAGAATTTAAAAAAAAATGTTGCTATAGTCAAGGCTTCACATCTTTCTACATACCATATAGAGCAAGACAGAGTATCTCCCTTGGTCACTCTCAAAGAAGAAAAGCCTCTTTCTTCCAGCAGGCTCAGTAAATAGCTCCTCTTATCTCATTTGCTCTGTGGCCAAGGGGATCAGGTAAGTTGATGGACACAAACTAAACAGGATCCGTTATGAAGCTGGGGGTAGATCCAAACCAGGTGGCCAAGTAAGGATGCCCTCCCAAAGAATATCTGGGTTACTGTTCCAAGAGAGAAGGGAAATGGAGGATGGGAACCAAATAAGAGATGAACAGTTCAGAGCCTTAACTAAAAGTCACAAAGGTAGGCTCCGATTTGTAGGTGCATTGCCTTTAAAACAGGCAACTCTGTAGCTGGCTCTGGGTCACAAAATATGAAAGATTTAATTATTCATTACCTCAAGAGAATCTGGGTAAGCCAGCTAATTTTCACTGTGTGAATGGCTTTACACAATAAATTTTTTTTATTTCCTCACTTTCCAACCCTACTTTTGAAAATTTCTAAGACAAAATTTTACCATAATCAACTGTACTTCAATATAATGTTAATTGCAATTATGAGAAAGGATCTTAAATTTCTACCTCTTGTATTTCTCCAAAATTTAGGAGCGGAGTATTCATTTTATTCCTCTTCTAACTTTGAGATGTATGGAAAGTGTCATTACAAACTGAAAGGTCTTCCATGTTATAATTTCTTCATAGACTATGGAGTCTTTGGTATGAGCTCAGGGCTTCCAAGTGCTGGTCTCTGAGCCTCTAGCAATGAAAGGACCAGTTAGGGTAGACCAGGTAGGGTCTATCCACTTCCATATGCTATTTCTTTCGCTCTTTTTAAAAATATTCCCACCCTGGCAACCATCAGCTTCTCTATATCTACAGGTCTGTTTCTGTTTTATATATGTATGTATGTATGTATGTATGTATTGGGTCCACATATATGTGAGATCATATGGTATTTGTCTTTCTCTGACTTATTTCACTTGGCATAATACCCTCTAGGTCCATTCATGTCACAAATGGCAGGATTTCATTATTTTATATTGCTGAATAATATGCCATTGTGTGTTTATCTTTAGTCATTCATCAGTTGATGGACATCTGGGTTGCTTCCATATTTTGGCTACTGCTGGTAATGCTCCAATGAATGGATGCGTATCTTTTTGAATTAGTGTTTTTGGTTTTTTTTTAGATAAATTCCAGAAGTGGAATTGCTGGATCATATGGCTGCTCTATTTTTAATTTTTTGGATTTGCCATACTGTTTTCCATAGTGGCTGCACTAGTTTACAATCCTACCAACAGTGTCCAAGTGTTCCCTGTTCTCCACATTCTCACCAACATGTTATTTGTCGATTTATTAATGACAGCCACTCTGACAAGTGTGAGGTGATATCTTACTGTGGTTATAATTTATATTTCCCTGATAATTCATGATGTTGAGCATCTTTTCACATGTCTGCTGGCCATCTACATGTCCTCTTTGGAGAGTTTCTATTCATGCCCTCTGTCCATTTCTAAAACTGGATTGTGTGTGTGTGTGTGTGTGTGTGTGTGTGTGTTAGGTTGTATGAGTTCTTTATAAATTTTGGATATTAACCACTTACTGGATGTATTGTTGGTGAATTATCTTCTCCCATTCAGTCGGATGTCCTTTTGTTTTTTGTTGTTGTTGTTGTTTAATTTATTGGGATGACATGGGTTAATAAAATTATATATATTTCAAGTGTACAATTCTATAATCATGATCTGGTCTTTTCCTTTTGTTGATGGCTTCCTTTGCTGTACAAAAACTTTTTAGTTTGACGTAGTCCCATTTGTTTTCTTTTTGTTTCCCTAGCTTGAGGAGATATATCCAAAAAGATATTACTAAGTGATATCAAAGAATTTATTGCCTATCTTTTCTCCTACTTTTATGGTTTCAGGTCTAACATTTAAGTCCTTAATCCATTCTGATCTTATTTTCATATATAGCATAAGAAAGT